TACCGCCACTAATGCAACGCCTCATGAGAGAATATTTGTCTACAACAGGAGGTCAACTACTGGCACTACTCTCCGCATGTGGCTTACCTCTCCTGGCAGAGTTCTGCTGAAGAAAAGCAATCAACAGTCTAAGTTTGATCCGCTCGTTGAGGAGGTGGAACTACTCCAGTGTAACCCCCAATATGCCCATATACGATTCAGTAATGGCAGAGAAGAAACGGTATCTGTTCGACAGCTTGCTCCCAGCGGTGAAAAGGACGTTGGTGACTGCCACCAGGAGACGGCCACGCCGGTAACAGAAAATCTCTCCCCACTTTCCCCTGGCCACCCACCCATTACCGAGCAAGAAAATAGCACCGTTCCAACTGACGGACAGAATGATGCAACACCTGTTAGTCTTCCAAACGCTGCCGATGTCCGTATGCATAACCTTGAAACATTAACCCAACAACAACAACGTGTTCACCCATACTGTCTTCGTAACAGAGACGCCTGAACTTTGCCCCATACAAACTTTTCCTATCGATTTTTGACATCTCGATTCTTCCATTTGTTGGCCGGGGTGAATGTCATGCTAACATAAGCCCCGGGCTAAATTCCACCTTACCTACTACTTTTCTATTTCTCTTTTCAGTCCCAGTACGTCAATTGTAAGATGAATAAAGCCCTGTTATAGGGTATTCTCGTTCTGACTCTTACAGCCATATTCGTTCGTCCTCTCCATCTCGTGTGCTTGCTACGGTCCTAACTACTACACTTGCCCGATCAAAGGCAGTTTGGAAGTTCAACGTCTTCTGCTCTAATAACCACTGCCGAATCTGCTTTGATGAATGGCCACTAATAAACGCGTCTCTAATGGCATCGTCGCGATGTTATTCTGCCGTAACGGCTTTGAAGTCACAGTCCTTAGCTAAGGATTTTAGCTTTTGAGCAAACTGGTCGAGGATTTGTCCGCCTTCCTGTCTGTAGGTTGCCAGAAGATGGCGGGCGAAAATTTAGTTTTTGGGTCTTAGGTAGAGACCTTGCAGCAATTTAACAGCTTCTTTATAACTGGAGCACTCAGTACTGCATTCTAAGATTGTCGGAGAGACGTAGTTAATCAGAACGCTTAATTTATCCGGTTTCAGGTTGTCGATCGTGTACAAGAAATTTTCAAAGGTGCGAAACTAATAACTCCACTGTTTAGAAGCGTCTTGAGCATTTGGATCAGCATCGAATCGTTCTGGCCTAAGGAATCGATCCATTTTGGAATTGTAAGACGACTAAACCGCTGTAGCTAGGACCGTGGCAAGCACACGAGATGGAGAGGACGAACAAATACGGATGCAATAGTCAGAACAAGAATACCCTATAACAGGGCTTTATTCATCTTACAATTGACGTACTAGGACTAAAACGAAAAATAGAAAAGTAGTAGGTAAGATGAAATTTAGCCAGGGGCTTATGTTGGCATTGACAATTGCATCCCGCAAAATTGCCAAATGGCAATGCTCGACGATCTAAGAAAAGCAAAAGGTCCATGGCGGTCAGGACCGGTAACAAATAACTTTAGTTTGGCAACAAACTTCTGCAGGAGATCGATCTCCTGAAGGTTGCTGTAGACTATATCCATAAGAGTGTTAAACGTTCATGCAAACAGGGTAAAATCGTAACGGCGACCACTTTGATGTGAAATGAGGAAAATTAATTACAAAGCGCCTAAGTCACAAGCTAAGAACTCGAACAAAAGCTTTGTCAACAATTACTTCCAACTAACTATTGAAATGGTAACGAAAAGGTGAGTTTCCACATATATGCCAAATAAGCTTTTTAAAACGGTTAGAGAATATTGATTTGGAGTATTAAACAAGATCATTTTGAGCAATCATCAATAGAGGTAAATACAGGTACTATGAAAACTGTTGTTTAATAAATTTCTAATTAAAATACTATTATTTATTCTAAGATTGCACAACTCAAAGCATAAAGCTAAAGTTGCCGTTCAAATTCTTGCCCCTGACACTTTCCGGCCAGACGACACCAAACAGAAAAGATCTGAGCCATCTGGAGTTCAGGTTGACCAGTGGCTTAAGCAGCAACTAAGACGTGTTTATCGCAAAATTCGAGGCCGTACAGTAGGCAGCGGCAAAGTTGAGGAAAGGCCAACAGGAAACCAATGGCTTCCTTAGAAAAGCTAGGGGACCCAGGAAGCCTCAACAGCTGAGGTCTGTTAGGAAAAAAGATATACTGACTACACTGGTTAGCGATCGTGCATCCTTCGCGACTACTTCCTGAAACTCATCCCTTCGATTCTATTAGTAGGTCACCGAAAAATCAAAAACGTATTCTCAAAACAGACTAATCTTGGGCTTAGAGGACTCGCTGTAGTCCTGCGTGTAGTGTTTGCCTATAAAAGTACAGGCCCTTCACATTTCGGCTCCCTAACTCTATAGGATGCTTCAGTTTGGAGCGGAAACCAATCTTTTCCCTAAAAATACCACCTCCATTCGCACATGTTTGCCTGACATAGACTATCGACTGACTGCTCAAAAGAAGCTAACTGCGACGATGACGCGGATAGGAATACCCTAATGACATTACAAATGTATATTTTTGAGTACAATTTCAGCTAAACTGGAAATATTATTGGCAACTTAACGGAGATTCCTGTAAGGGAACAGGACGGACAAGTTTTTGATAATATCTTTATGGGATGCACCGGTTAGACGGCCGACAGTGCAAGAAAACTAAAGAATAACCACCCGCTTGCATAACAAAAGAGGGTAGCATGACCGCTACATGCACTATTATGGAACATCTGCTTGAGATTGGATGCTGACTTGACGCTTCATGAAGACGTCATATCCAAAGTAGACGCAGAGTGTGGAAACAGGCAGTTCAACTGTTTCGGCTCAAAAATCTGCCTAACGCTCGGCGTTTACCCGGGTCCGATTCCGGCATTGTTTATCAGCCGCCATAACCGTAAGTCTCTCACACTTCCCCTCTTATGGACGATCCTTCGGTTGGTTCCACCGGTAACGGGCCACCGGCCTGACGGGGCTGGTGCTAACAGGGTACCCACCACCTCACTTCATCACTGAGGTAAACAAAACAAATAGGCCTAATATCTCCCATCTCCCGCCTAAATGCGAAGACCGGTCAGATGGGGCTGGATGAAATTTGTGGCCGAAGTGGTTGGACTACAAACTAGAAGGAAAAGTGTTGACAGCAAGTCAGTCATGATCGCTTAAGGTGTCCACACTTCTCGAACTCTCTAGCAATCCTTGCACCAGACCTCTGAAAAACGTCCAAAGTTTCGACTTAAGGTCATAAAACTCTTTAAAACCACTTGATTGGTCATATACATATGAAAAATAGTGTGTGCTACATTAAAACTTACTATGTTGCCAATATCCTAATAGACTGAAGGGACTGACCACTCGTTCTATCCGCCAAGTTTTCAGTCAAGTAAAATCTGGTTCAGCTTGTTTACGAGTAGTGGCTACTCAGTAATCAGGAAGCACAGAGCCTCCTCTACGAAACGTCCCTGAAGAAATCTTATCCGAAACATAGGTAAACAGGTGGTCGATTGTGAACGCAATTCCGAGACTAAAGTTTGGTCGAAAATTCTAATAATGGGTGTTTGCACCCTTCTAAGGGTTTTGTGTAGCGTATCGGTCTAACGGTCTGAATACTGCGCACGACGAATGACAGAACGGACGAACCAGTTTTGGATATGACGTTGCTGCAGCCTTTCACGTGGGACTTGGATGATTATCTGCGTCCTCTGCTCGTCCTTGAACCTGAACAAAAGACAACACCAAATCCACGCCACAGTGTGCTTGAAAACAGGACTACCTGAAATATGCGTATGTTATTTGCGTACCGACGGTTTAGTTAGAAAAAACGTATAGTTATGTATAACATATCAATATGTAAAAGTAGGAACCTCAGTGGTCTTTCATAGTACCCAGAAATATAAATTAAAAATCTAAGATAAAACACCAACAGACTTCCTTGCATAGTGTTTATCATGCATTGACTTGATAATAATTTCGATTGGCAGGTTTTAATCCGTCATCACAGGGAATTTGCAAATAGGCAAAAATCTTATGTACTGTAAGTTAGTGCGATCGTGTCCAACAGGTCGCCTGAACGCAAAGAGCGTAGAGGATATTGAGGAAGCGAAGGATTTTATTATTTTGAACTTAGTCACTGTAGACGCACATGTATCCGTAATTACGACAAGACATTTTAAGGGCCTTTAGCCAACGACTGCGTATAAGATCAAACGACGTCCTGCAAATGGAAACACCTCTAGCAACAAGACGAATGGGAAAGACCGCTGAATACTTCTTCATACATGAGGATCGAAGTGACGTCTGTATTCTCGTACGATTAAACTGCTTCCATTGAGACAATAGAATACTGTTTTATTCCTAGACAGTTAATGTTTATTTCTTTTTCGAGTCCTTTTTAAAAGTCCCTTTTATTGCCGGTTATAATTCCTCCTAGTCTTGTTAGACAATCTGGTAAAGTAGCTGTATTTTACGAAGCGCCTGTTTAGTGACGCCGTGTCAGACCGTCTCCTTCTAAAGTTCGTAGTAAAATGAGAGTGGGATTTGCAATTTTGTGCGTTCTGCTGTACGCTAGCAAGGTTTCGATCGTTGTACTGCAACGAAAAACATATATAATACCCTGACAGGACCCGAAGAAAACGCGCTAAAAGACGAAAGCTCGCGGCCTCCCTGCCGTCTCTGGGTGCCAGAATCGTGGCCGGAGACACAATAGTGCCAGCATGTGTTCGCTGCCTTCTTTGAATACGGTAAACTGAAAAATGCCTTTAGACCAAATAGAACCTCTTGACCCTTAAATCGTCTAAAACTACGCATTTGCTAGACGTAACAGGGCATCATCTGATGAACTACTAGAGTAGTACATATATGGCGATACAAGCAGCACTTCTGAAAAAGCAATTGAACAAGCATTTGATTTTTTTGAGGTAATAAGCTCCGAAACTGAGGATAGAATAAACTGTAATCAAAATTTTATACCGCGAAACATTCCGAATCCCATATCTGCTATAATGGGATCGCATTTGCGCCTGAAAAGTTGTGGCTTGGGTTTCAGTGTCGCATGAGCTAAACGCATGTGTTTACTCAGCCGTAATGCGCTGATACTAGTCACCCTTTCCTCCTTGGTAGAAGTCGGTTTCATCTTGCCAAAGAAGGAGATAAGTAGAGATTTCTGCCGTGAATAGCGTTGCTCAGTTTCGCCGGACCTCTAACCAATGCAACGATGATCGAACAAAGTGAAAATGTAGAAAACTAGCACCGACATAAGGACACCTACTTTCCGTTTGAATAAGTATTCTTCAACATCATCTGCAGCTTTACCACGTCATGGCATAGTCAATTCCGTAGGAACTCGACTGCTCTCGATGATGAAATCTTTAAATGCAACAACGCACGGGGTATACAAGCACACTTACCGACTCCACCAGCAACCCATTGCAAA